GCTGCTCTCTAAATCTCATTGTACTGTGTACTGTAAGGCTTTCAATTCAATTCAATTCTTACCAGATGGAAGCAGAAATGCACACTTGTGTTGTTGTCATTAAACTAAATAGCAGTTAGAAGAGATTTTCTTAATTGTGTAATGTTTTGGCATTTCAGTACCGACAATAACTTTACATTTGGCCACATTTGTGTGGCCTAAGTTGACGGTCTGACCTTACAGTGACCCTCTGTTGCACTCCTGCCTGCCCCTCACACATCAGCCTTAATTTGGGGAGGTGTTGGCTCCCCCATGACTCCTTCGTAGTACAGTCCAGGCATAAGCATATTCCTCTCCCAGCACCTATTAGAACCAGAAGTCTCTGTTACTATCTATTCTACATTATGCCGTCTAATTTTTAAAAAGAAAATTAGAGTAATTTTTTTATGGGAGTAATTGTACTTTTACTATTAGTATAGATTTTCAGTACTCTACCAACCACTGCTGGTGTCACTCAACATGTCTTATGTCATGTGTGGAGTAGGCAAAGAGGATCAAAGTGTGGTTGCTGATACAATAGTGGGAATATATACATGACATGATATATATATATTACATAATAGTTCTAATGATGCATGGAAGTATTATATAAACTATATACTATTCTACATACCCGCAGTGTCTCCCACAATATTTGCTTTACCTGGCGCCTCCTCTGTCCAACAGGTATCCCCATTTTAAGTAAAATTAACCAATTTTCCAATTGGCTAGAAGTCTCAATTCTTCCAGAAAGCAGTGTCCCCATTAATTCTAAGCTTAAACAGTATGGCTAACAGTGATGCATTATTGTCAGCAGAACCAGTGATCACCAGGAACACAAAGTGCTGTAGGGATGATGTATTTTTGCAGGCCAAGTTAGCGTCACCCTGGTTCCTTCGACAAAAAGCCTTTATGATACACGTTTCACTTATTTTTAAAGCTTAAATGTGATATCCAAAAAGTAAGAAGCTAATGTAAAAAAACCCCAACCACTAAACTTCCAACTGTTAATTAAAAAATAAATTTGTTTATTTAGTATTGTGATTGGAATGAATGCAAACACAGTGACTGTATCAGGACTTTGTGAAAAGAATTCTCTCCGGAATTGGGCTGTGGCATGACAAATTTGGTGCTTAACGCAGAGATTGGACCAGATAACCTTTAGTAACCCTCCAGTCTTCTCAGATTTTCAGGGTAAGCTGAATAAAAAAGCTGTATATTATCCCAGCCTTATAATGTTTGTCAGCGTTAGGATCCATCATGTGATTGATTAGAACAATTGTCCTTATTAGTGAAATATGTCCTAATTTACTTGCCTCTTCTTTTCAGTCCAATAAAAGAAGCATTTATTGTTGAGAACAGAACATTGAAAACTGTGATGCTGCATCCATCACTGTGCTGTTCTTACATCTGAATCATTAACTCAGTTTTAATTAATACAAGTGTCCTGCAATAACTGCGAACAAAATAGAATTTTGAGTGTGATAAAAAACGTCAGGTTTAGGGTCGGATTTCTTTTGGTTCTCCATTCTCTTGGATGAATAAATACTTATAATAAATACTTGTTGGATTACACCCATGAGTTTAAAAGTCCAAGGACAGAGTAAGCTGTATACTTAAATGACCTTTCACTATCCCTCTGTTATCTGCTGATGTTACTTATTAAAGCCACTAGAGGTCATCCTGACCACATTAATCGTCCATCATGTCAGACAGTATATATTTAGGGACTTGAATTCAGTACTAAAGTAATAAAGTACTCTATCTATAATTATGTAATATTTATTTAGAGAGGAATGAACTGAACCCAGTCCAGATACATGGGGCATATGCTCCACCAGTTGAACAACCAGTAACTAGTCAATATGATGCACCACCTTACTTTAGGGGCTGCAGAAACTGTAAGTTCAGTCAGCCAACTCACGTTTGAAATGTTTTATTGACAGCATATAAGCATATTTAGATTTTGGGCGTCTAGGCTCCAACCTCATCATTCCCAGCAGATATGTTTACATAGAGATATTAGGGAGTGATGAGCATTTTGCACATTTTGCTGGAGATTTAATTGGAGTTGTGGCCCAACAATGGCCCAACATCAGGAAGAAGAAAACATGTCATAAAAGAAGTCTATTGATTGTTATATTAATAATTAATAATTAATCTAAACCACTCGTTTTACACAAACTTAAACTAAAAGTTATTGTGTTCACTGTTTGGGTTCATTGTACAGTATAGCCATTGTGTCTGACTCTGTGCATTCCGTCCCGTCAGAGTTTAAGTTTATTTTGACTACTGCCTAGAAAACCATCAAAGGATTTCTGTAGCTGTGCTGCCTTAACCTTGTTTATAGGAAAAAGACGGGCCACAATTGTTGTCACACATTGTCACAATATTATGTCACGATGATGACATATGTTTTGATATGCTTTGAGACTGTCCAAAGCTTATCACTGTACCACAAGATGGTCCTCCCACCTACTGTGCATAATTGTGGCTTGACAGTGTGTATTTTACAAACAAGTTGATTAATATTTGGTTAATGGTTTATGGTTACTGAAACTGTTAATAAAACAGTAACAAGCATTTAGATGGTCTGTGTTAATGTCTTTTTAAAATGTTTATTCATAAAATGTGTATTTAGGTATTTTGAGTTAAAGCAACTTCATATAATTTATGCAATCTGTTTCAAAAAATAATTTAATTACGCTAATATCCAATTTTGAGTTATATGAAATTCCGTTATAGTGAATTGAGTGGAGTTTGTACAACTTAATTGTACTTAAAAAGTTAAGTAACCATAAAGTGAACAATAACTTATATAGAAATTAAAGTTAACTATACTTTTTATTTGTTCTGTGAAAACAAAGATTTAATATTCTGGTCAGAATTTCAGTGAATCTCTGCAATGCTTCAGATGGGAACTTCACTCCACTCTAAATTAGCCTGGCACAGCATTGAGCAAATTAGTTGCTAAATGACCAGGAATACACAAGAGTGTGAGTTATCAGAGCAGCTTTAAATCATCACGGCCCTGTAGTAGTGCTTTAGGATGACCATGGCAGCTGTTCCCCATTAATTTCCCAGGAGAGTAATATAGGAGGCTTAATGAGACATTGAAATGGTGTAGAGGCCCAATAATAATAAGTTCCTAAAGCCATCTGTAAATTTAATGTTTAATCACCACTTGCATACACTGTGCCACATCTTCCAACAACATAGATACTCTCTATCTCATTTCTCAGAGTTGTGAATGAGACAAGTGAATACATGGCAGATATGCAGTGAATATCATGCCAACTCCACCAGCTGAAGGCAGCATCTAGCCCCGGAGACATTGCTGGAAATGGAGAATCGTCAAATTAGTGTGACTGTGTGAAATACAGATTTGGAGCACAGCACTGATGAAGAAATGTCTGTCAAACTCAAAATTAATATTACGATCGGTTAACCGTCAGATTCTGCGGAGAGGTGCAATCCAAAAGCATTGTTTTCATGAACACATTGCAGAGACTGATAACTGATTACACCAATTAGAGGAAGAGTTGAGCAGTTATGGCTGGGGTTAAGCAAAAGTTTGGACAAAGCCTTCACTTACTCACTATTAGTCAGTCTGGTTAAGGTGAGACACCACAGGTGAACAGGATCAAAAAATGAACTAATAGATATAACAATGAAACTTCCCCAGTTGGTTACAATTATTTTTGTATTCCAAGTTACTTCTTTTTAGGATATTTCAGCATTTCTCTGAAGACTATCCTTTTGTACTGTCTGGTTGCCCTTGCAGGACATACAGTATGCAATGGAAGAAAAACCTTAAAGACAAGTTACTTTATGTGGTTGTACTCACATCCATCACTCTTCAGCTGTGAGACGTTTCAGTGTTCAATGGCATTCTGCTCATGAAGGCATTCGCAAAATGTAAATAAGCACGTAGTAAATTATTAAGTCCCATGGAGGAGTGCTTGATGTAAATACTTTTTTGTGGTTAGTGCTGTCACTCTGAAAGACATTACTTACATGGAACAGAAGACCTTTGTTGGTTCAAGGTCTTCTAGAACTCTGAGCATGGAGCAAAATGTAATTACCAGGAAAATGTGTCACACATTCTCAAAATTTCTCTGGTAACAACAAGATCAAGTTTTTTTAATTTTTGCTACACACTGACTACATGGATACATTGGATTTGAGACCAAAAGATGAAACAAGAGATGAGAAGGTCCACTTTTATTTCCTGGTATTTACATGCATATATGTTGTTATGACAATTTAGAACAACAGCTTTTTGTTTCAGTCACCCCCATTTGTGGGTCAGCATTAGTATGGGAACAAATGACTGAATATAAAAAATAAAAAACAAAAAGGAGCGAACTATGCGCCTTACATGTTGCTTCATCAGATTCACTCTGAGCTTGATTGCTATCAGGTATGCATTTAAATAATCAAGTGCTAATGAGTGGAAAATCCAACAGGATGCCTCGTTCCTGTGCCAAAGACGCCGCGTCCCAGCGGCCCCC